TAGTGTAATCCATCCCTACTAGCCTGGCATAAATAACTAATGACAGCTTAAAGCCACCTGCAAACAGGCAGCTGCTATATATTGATATATAATATACACATATTCTTTTGCTAAGTCGAGCGGCAAAAAAGTTAGGAATGAACTTTGCTTTTTTTACTTTTCATGTGTGTTTTTGTGTGTGGCTGTGTGTTAAATATGTTAATAATGCATATTTGTATAAAGCAGACACTTAGTTACATTTATATGTTTGTATAAATTTATGCATAAAAAATTCTAAAAGTTTTATGAACTGTTCCATTTGATTAAAGCCAAAACAATTTATGAATTGAATGCAAAGCACACACGCACATGCATATATATATTATATATGTATGTATGTATGCTAGCAACAAAGTTTGTTAAATTTATGAAACATACATTTATAATAGTATAATAGTATAGTAATATTAATAACACACAGTATTCATTTATAAATAACTAAATTCCGTTTTTCGTGTTACGTGTATAAATGTATTTAAGTGTTATTTATGTATGTTTTTTTGTGTATGTATGTGTGTCTGTGTGTAATTTTGTATATCTTTTATTTTGTGTTTGTTTTTTCCTTTTGATTATTTTACGCAGCTCGTGTTATGTTGGCTTATTATTTTTTTATTTTGTTAGAGAGTCTGTAGGTGAATTCAATCCCGATGATGAATTGTTCTCATCTAAAGCATCTGGGAAACTGGATACCGAACCCGAACGCGATGTCACCTTCGTCTACAATAGAAATAGAAATAGAAGAGAACCGAAACACAGGTTGTTTAGACAAAACACACAAGACACGAAAAAAAAGCTTGCATTTAGCATGCGATTATTAAATAGTTCAAACTAAAATTGTAGAGTAAAGTAAGCCCCAGAGAGTGTAAAAGGTACATAGCTAGCTAAAGTAGGCGCGTGGGTGTGCGTGTGTGCGTGTGCGTGGGTATGGGTGTGGGAATTCTCTGTTAGTTACGAATGTTGTATATTAGGTATAGAACGTGTCAGAGGCGTGGCAACTAAATAATGAGACTAAATATAATTTCTGTCTGATGGCAGCGAATTGTTATTAATATTAAGTTTTAATAACTAAGCAAGAAATCATAATAGATGAAAAAACTTTGTCGACACCACGAAATCATAGATTTGTGAGAGCGGAAGTATTCTAAGAATAAAGAGAGAGTGAGGCTTTAACGATCGTTAGAAATTGTACAAGAGCAAAACATATACTACCAACCTTCGTTAAGAATAACAGCAAAACAAAGAGAGACGCTAACGTTAGTTACGAATGGTATCTGAGTAACATATAACGAGAAGCTTAAACGCTATTTGCTGACGAGTCCGAATGGCCCTACAATTCTCACAACTTAAACAGTGTCTCATATAATCAGTCAGCAACTTTCTAGCCCAATTCAGCTGGCCACAATTACATTTGCTACCTTATTACTAGCACGAAACTGTCAGCTGTTTCTCACACAAGAAGCAATTAGATTTAACTAATATATAAAGCATTTCCAAGGTGACATTAAGTATATATGTAATGAAATCAAAATCAAACAGTTAGTCTCATTATTTTCTAGCCACACACCTCTGTATAGTATGAGAGATATATATTGAGTATATATATTTATAATAAAAATAGTAGTTACCGCATTAGATTGGCACAAAAAATTGTTCTGTTCATAGCTTACTTTAACGTTCTCATAGGCAGTGCCAACAGAGGCTTCAATAGAACGCATCGACTCAGAATTTTTCATTTGTGAGAGTTTCGACGTAATGCCGCTCGTAATGCTGCCAAATACCGATGCCGTTTTCTCACCCGTTGTCTTCAAAACCGATTCCGTGCGTTGGAAACTGAAAACAGAAAATTGTACGACATTAATAAATATACAAAATATAAATACAGCAATTTGTACATATAGAGAGATAGAGATTATTACATGTGAAAGCAATTTTTGTTAGTGGCATACAAAAGCAGAAATTTTGGATGTGAGGGGATATAGATGGAACAGCAGACAATCCTTTTACTTACAGTGGTGCTTCATGCACAGCTTTTGATATGTTGCCCACACTCTGTTCCACTGATTGGTAACTAAATGGAATGCAATACAAAATCAAATTTTCACAAAATTTTTAAATAAAGCAAATACAAACAGAAAAGCCAGATTAACAAAAATCTAAATCGAATCTAAATGTCTAGCTATTTAGTTGTCTCTGTCGCTTTACGTTGAAGACTTACACATGACTCTCTTTCAGATTCTTAACGCCCTGATTGACGTCGTCTGTTAGCTCCTTCCAGACGGTAATACCCAGTTTACGCTTCAAGTCTGAAGCATGACGCGTCTTGGAGGCCAGCACCGTGCGCAGCGTATTGATCTCTTCCTCAACACGTGCCAGCTCCTAAAAGAGCAATAAAAATATAGATTAGATATAAAATGTAGAACAAATATTTGATGTACGAAGGTTGCCTGAATAATTGTGGTTAATATCAAAATTGTAATCATCTTTATAAAGTAATTAAAATAAGTAAATGAATTTATCTGTCAGCTCACAATTTGCTCAGGCAACCCTCGTAATGACTAAATGATTCAGCACTTACCTGACTCCATTCAGCGCGTCTCTGTTCCTTCTCCTCAACGGTAAGCGCAGCAAATTCAGCTGCAATCTCTGCAGATGCTACAGACGCTGCTGGCGATACTGGCTCCGACAAATGGGCGCTATTATCTGAGCAAAAGTTAAAATAGAAAACAGTTAAACAGGGTACTCTAGTAATATATATGTATATAAATACTACTTTTAGAAAACTAACTAAAAAGAGCTGGCGAAAATGTAAATTTTGTATATTAATAATAAATCCAAAAGAAATGAGGTTTGGTTTTTATGTACCTCCATGGAAGACAACTTCCTCAAAGACTTTATCATGCGCTGTGTAATATCGAATTTCATTTCAGTTGGTTCATTCAAAATTTTTATCAAAATATGCATAAAATATGTTCAAATATGTTGTAGGTAACCAAAACTGAATACTCACAAACTGTTTTTATTTTTGTATCGTATAGCGTAAGCAAAGAGGTAAATAGAGAGAATTAAGAAAAGCTGATTAGTCACGAAGCAATTAAAGTGTGTTAGTCGTGTTCCCAATTTGAATTTCGCGACAAACAAAAAAATGAATTGTATATATAAAATATATATATAAAAAAT